AAGCAGAAAAAAATGACTCTTAGCAATTCTTTTGGCTTCCACTGCACTGAGATAAGGTAAAGCTGGTGCCCAGCAAGCACCCCTTTCCAAGTCTGGAAGTTAAATGGAACTGGCAAGTATGCTCACTGGTGCTGACCACATGGCTCTACTTGAGAAGTGGAAGTGGGAGTCACACAGCAATGAAGAGATGTGCCGCATTTGGACATGCTACCTAGATGCTGTGACTTAACTTGCCCACATGTATGAATAAGTGAAAGAAGGTTGTTGGTCAGAAGAGTAGGGAGTTATGAGAAATCCTGGATCATTAACTTAGCCCATGTGAAGGGCTAAAGTTGAGAGTTGGAGGGACCAGCTACTCTGAAATGCAGGAAGATACATGGACCCCTGAGCGTGTGGCCAATGCTCATTGGGCCTTATCACTGAAGCTAGTTGACCAGAAACCAAACAGATACTGGTTTGAGACAATGTTTGATACTATGAAATAGTGTAGATTTCAGCAATGTGATGGCTTGTTCTGGACTGGACTTTGGCTCTAGATACAGATTCTGAAAATTCCAAATGGAACAGAAAAGTCTTCATAAAAAGGAGCTTGTTTTCTCACAGTACTGGTTTGATAGGGAGGAACATATTAAAAATTTGCTATCTAAAATGGGGAGATTAAAGTATGAGGCATGAAATAACTGGATTATATGTTTTCATGAATGTAATTATTAGTAAGATGATTGTAAGAGGAAAGCTAGATCTTCAAATATAAAAGGTAATGGCTAGAAAAGCCAGGAGGTGGTCTGTGGTGTTAAGTGTTTATTGTTCAAAGTGGCTTTTCTGGCCAATGACTTTCACTGTGTCACACAGATGGGCAGGATCATGTATCTAGGGAATATTAGTCTATCCACAAGTGGATTCAGAGACAGAATTGAGAATCTACACTCAAACAGGATAGAGGAAGCAGCGAGCATCCTTCAGAGATTCATATGACAGGAACACCAGGATGTACACAAGAGCAGTAGCAGTCTCAGCAGAGAATTGGAGACTTCATGAGACAGAGCTGACATGGGACTGCTGCTCCTAGGAGCCACAGCCTGAGGCCTTTGTGCAGGTTTGCTGGAGGACTGAGGGAAGATGCAATAACTGTCAGGAATAAGGGAATGTTATGACACTGACCTAAGCTGTGAGACTGAAGGTAAAGGGGCCCACAAACTCGCATGAGCAGCTGTCTGGACTGAGGGACTGTATCCTTCTGCCAACCTGAGTGATGGTCTGTTAACTTCTCTAATAAACCCCTTAACTGTGAGTACAATTCTGTAAAGTCTGCGTAGTCATTGCAATGGATTTTTAACCCAGTAGAGCAGTAAGATTGGTGTTGGAATGAGTCGTACTAGGTGCAGGAGTGTGGGGGACTTTATCTGACTTTACAGGAATTACTTTTGTGCTGTGATGTTATTTATGGGGACATTTCCCCTTTGTGGTGTTAGTGGAAGCCAGACTTGGCCATCCTTATGTTGCCTCCACTCTTTTCACAGGCATATGACGATAGTGGAAGAAACTGCCATGTGAAAGAGCTATATGGAGACAGACAGGATCCAAAATTGAAATTATTTTGTCACAAACCAAGAAATACTGGAGCTACCAAAAGCTGAAAGATAATAAAGGACCTATGCTAGTGCCTTCAGAGAAAATATGGTTCTACCAATACCCTGAATTTAGATATTTTAGTATTTTGAACTGAGACACTACATTTCTGTTGTTACAAACAAACAAACAAACAAACTGCTGATGAGCAATGATATCAGTTTAAAGACTAAGGTATACTTGATCTAGTCTATTCATTTACTGCTATGCATCTGAGAATTGGATAATGAATAAGGATGGCGAAGAAGGTATACTGTGCTTTTTTGGGGTGCATTAGTCTATAGATATCTATGAGGTCAAGTTGGTTTATTGTGTGATTTAATTCTTCAGTATCTCTGTTGAGTTTTTTTCTGGTAGTTCTATCTTTTCTTGAGAGGGGTGTATTGAGGTCTCCCAGCACTATAGTAGTGTTGTCGATTTCCTCTTTCAGTTTTGTTAATGTTTGTTTTATGTATTTTGCTGGTCTTTTATTTGGTGCATAGATATTTATTATTGTTATGTCCTCTTGTTCTATTGACCCTTTCAGCATTATGTAGTGACCTTCCTTACCTTCCGTGATGGTTTTTACATTGATATTTATTTTATCAGAGATTAATATGGCTACTCCTGCTTTTTTCTGGTTGCCATTTGCTTGGTATATTTTTCCCCACCCTTTTACTTTTAGCCTGTCTTTATCTTCATTTTTCAGGTGTGGTATATTCGCACAATGGAATACTATGCTGCATTAAAAAACAAGGAACTCATGCAATATTATTCAAAATGGTTGACTCTGGAGAACATTATGCTGAGTGAAATATCCCAGTCACAAAAGGACAAATATTACATGATGCCACTGTTGTAGAATGGGACTGTCCTTGGGGTTGGGGAGAGACTGAGTAAGATGGGTTCAATAATGTATACTGCACTGAAACAGAGGAGGGAGAAAACTGTTTAAAAGAGATATATAACTAGGTATTTCTGTCATCACAGGAGACTAGAGCGAGGGCTACATGGTGGAGGGGACCTGGGGGAGTGTTTGTAAAACAATGAAAGAATCTTTTCTTTTACTTTTCCATAATTTGACTCATGTACTTATAACTTGTTAGTCAAATTTGTGTCTTCTAGGTTGCAACACCCCCATGATACATCTTCAAGGATATGAACATGTACGGCCAAGCACAATCAATAAGAGTGCATCTAAATTCCAAAATCAATCTCCATAATAGTCTATGTGTTTCCTACTGCCAAAGGGGCCCTTTAGAGTAGTGAGAGAGAAGATCTTCACCCTGAAACCCACAGCATCCCTTTTCAGCAGGAAGTAGCTAAGAGAATATGCCATCCCCTTTTCCTTATGACTCAGGGTGAAGTCTCTCTCAGGGAGGAGTGATAGGGAATGGCAAAGGACACACTGACAAAGAAGATTAATCAGAACTGGCTTTGACAAGCACTGTGGCATTTGGACAAGAACAAACTGGGAGGAGGGTAGAGAGAATAGTGCAACAATGAATGAATGGAAACCCAAAATCTCTGTAAATGTTTATGAAAATTAATAAAATATAATTATAGAAAAGAAATGAATAAGGATGGCAGAAGAGAAATTGATGGCTATGAGTTGTGGTCTTGGAGAAGAGTACCGAATATCCCACTAACTGCCACGAGAACAAACAAATGTCCTGGAGACAATACAGCTAGGGTTTTCTTTGGAGGCAATGATGATGAAGATTGACCTCACATACTTTAGATATGTTATTAGGAGGAGGCAGTTCTTGAGAATGAACATCATCCTCAGGAAGGTGGAGGGTCATTGTAAAAGAGAAAGACCTCCAAGAAGATTGTTTGACACAGTGACTGTAACAATGGGCTCAAGTGTATTAGAGATGGTGAGGATGACACAGGATAGGGCAGAGTTCAGATCCCTTGTTTATAGGGTTGCTATGATTCGTAGTTAGCTCAACAGCACATAACAAGAACAACAACATCAACAATAACAACAACAGCAATGCAATCATGATGTTGCCTATTGATCCAGTGGCATCGATTTTTGTTTTCTGTACATTGAGATATATATTGAAGGCTCTAGCCTTTACTCATCTGCAGTAAGTACTCCAAGCCTTCTTTACTTTGAGCAAGCAAACTTGCTCAGCATACACAGTGAATAAACATGGTAAAAGGTCTTGTACTCAGTAGGTAATGAATATGGATTTGTGAATGTAGGGAGGAATAAAGGAAAGAACTAATTACTTTTGCTTTAGCTCCGTTGGAGTTGTAGACTGCATTTCTACTAAAGCACAAATTGATTATAGAGGGTTTTGTAAAAATGCATGTTTATTGGAATAAAAAAAAGAACAATGAAATATGAAATATGAAACAGAATAAAGATACCTTAATTCTTTCCAAATCTGAGTATAGAACGAGGGGGAACTTTTGATCTTGTGTGTCCCCAAAATGCTCTTCCCTGAAGGACTGCTGCTGCTCTTATGTGTTGTTATATGCTTGCGACCCATAGTGACCCTATGGACAACAACTCTAAACTCTGCTCTATATTGAGTCAATTTCATTTTTTCTGACCTTCTCCCAGTCACTGAGACAATTCATTTTATCCAGAGTCTTCTTCTCTTGCACTGTCCCTGAACCCTCCCAAGCATGATATCCCTCTTCAAGGACTGGTCCCTCCTTTCAACATACCCAGAGTAGGTCAGATAAAGCTTCAGAATCCTTGTCTTCAGGGAGCAACTTGGTTTTAGCCTCTCTAGGAGGAATCACTGGGATGCTTGACAGCAACATGGAGAGGCTGAGATTGTTAACAACTTCAGTTTGCTTGGCTCTATAATCAACACTCTTGGTACCAGCAGCCAGGAAATTAAAAGATGAATTGCATTGTGAAAATCGGTTGTCAAAGACCTCACCAGAGTGCTTTCTGTCCCTGTGTAACTTCTGACCTCTTGGCCACAAAAGACTCCCTAGGCACCTCTCTTCTGGTCACAGCCAAGGACCTGAAACTTACCTGCCTCGACATCAGGAAGGTGGAGTGGAAGTTGAACATCTGAGCAGAACAAGGAAGCTGCAGGCGCCACCTGGAGTCAAGAAGTCGACCATCACTGGCAACCATCAGCCATTCTCCTCCTCCCAGTCTCCAAGACTCATCATGTCGCAGAAGAGTCAGGACTGTGAGCAGAAGCACAGGGCTCCAGGAGCAGAGCAAGCCCCAGAGCCTGGAGGGAGTGCAGAGCCCAGGAGCTGAGGAGGGGGCGGCTGCCACGGCCTCTACTGCCCCCTCTTCCTCCTCTGCTGAGTGTTCCCTGATCCCGGGACCCCAGGAGGAGGGGAATCCTTTGGGGGCAGAGAGTACATCCCAGAGTCCCCAGGGTGCCTCCTCCTCCCCTCAAGGGGCCATGTCAGCTGAGGGCACCAGCGGTCAGGAAGGGGCAGGTGCTAGTTCCCCCACTGTCAGGTCTTACAGAGGGTACAGGCCCAGGAACAAGCTAGAAAACATAGTGTGGCATTTGGTCAATTTTCTGATCTCCAAGTATCAGAATGAGGAGCCTACCAATAAGGAAGAGATCGTGGACAATGTCATCAGAAGGTGTGAGAACAACTTCCCTGAGATCTTCCAGAGAGCTTTGAAGATCATGCAGATGGTCTTTGGTGTGGAAGTGAAGGAAGTGAACCCCACCTCCCACACCTATGTCCTGTTCCCCTTGCTCGGGCTCACTTATGACAATAGTGTGAAGAGCCAAACCCAGAGCTTCCCCAAGAATGGCCTTCTGATCACAATCCTGAGTACCATCTTCCTGGAAGGCGGCCGTGCCAGTGAGCAGAAGATCTGGGAGACGCTAGAAGCGATGGAGGTGCATGCAGGGCAGGAGCATTTTATTTAGGGGGAGCCCCGCAAGCTCATTCAGGAATGGAAGCAGGGTGAGTATTTAAACAGAGCCAGTACGCAATAGTCAGCCTCCCCGCCAGGAATTCCTGTGGGGCAAGCGGCCCGCAGAGAAACCAGCGAGTTCAAAGTCCTGGAGTTCCTAGCCATGGTCAGTGACACTAGCCTAAATTCCATACCCGGTCAGTACTTGCAGGCTCTGAGAGAAGGGACGCACACAGGACCAGTCCCAGATGAAATCGCGGCTCTCAGCACCTTGATTGTATTCATTCCACCGTTTCCTAACTTTTAGATTCAGGGGTGAATTTCATGCTACTTGAAGAGAATAGGCAGCCTTCAAAGCAGTAGTGGGCCAGGGCGGAAGACGTGCACATTACAAGTCCTGTTCTAGAGGGGTCAATGTAGATACTGTTGGTTTCTCCAGGAACTTTTTAACTGTTCGTTTTAATAAACGGTTTGAGCTTCAGGAAAAAAAATTTTTAAAAAAAAGGAAAAAAGAAAAAAAAGACCTCTCCTAAGTACTGAAAAGCAATGATGTTACTCTGGAGACTAAAGTGCTCCTGATATAGGCCATGGTCTTTTTAATCACTTGCTATGCATCAGAAAGCTGGACAATAACTAGGGATGATAGAAGGAGAATTGATGCCTTTGAGCTGTTGTTCTTAATTGAATATACCATGAGTATTGAATATACCATGGACTGCTAAGAGAACAAACAAGGTCATCCTCTCTGTAAGGAGGATGAAAAGATTGGGGTTTTTTTTTCAAACTTTTCATTGAGATTCGAGAAGTTTTTCGATGGAAGGAATTGTATTTTGACTCAACAATTCATATAATGTTTCATGACATTAATTACATTCTCCATGTAGTGAAAGCATCTTCCCATTTCCTCACTGGTTATCCATATCCCTTCATCCTTTTTTCCTATTCCTTTCTGCCTTCTGATACATGATGTTGTTATATGTCATTGACTAGTCTCACCGGGACCCTATGTCTCTGACCCTTGCCCTGTCCTGAGCCAATCTCACTGTCTTTGGTACACCTGACCCCATTGGCACAGTCACTGTGTCAATCCATTTCATCCTGGTCTTCCTGTCCTGCACTGACCCCCCTACCCTTCCAAGCACAATGACTTATCCCTGGACCAATGTTGCCTTTTTTTGGATCTTTTATGTCTGAATATTCTAAGCAGTGTGTTCCTCTCTGCTTTTATTGATCCCTCGGCCAATGTTGCCTTTTTTGGTCTTGTATGACTGGTTGTTCTAAGCAGTGTGTTCCTCTCTGCTGTTATTGATCACTGCCTTCAAATTGATTTCAGCAACCCTCTATGGGGTTTCAGAGGCCATTAAGATTAAAAGCATAACGGCAGGAGACTTCCCATCCTTCCCCTGGGAAGCCACTGGTGAATTCCAACCGTCAGAGACCAGAGACCAGAGGCCAGTTAGCAGCACAACAAGGTATGGACGGGCCTGCCAGGGCTTCAATAATTTTACAGGCTTTCCTATTGTTTGGCTAGGAGGTGAGTTTCAGCCTTGAAGGAAGATTAAGAAGCAGTCTCATTTCCAACCAGTACCTATCAGAGCAGTGGGCCTGGACTTTAAAAAAAATTTTTAGCCCAGATTTTTAAAAATGATTTTCATTTTGTTAGAAACCTTTTGATAATGGGGAATAATACAACTTTTTCTTTTTCTTTTCTTCCTGGCTCCTTCCTTCCTATCAGCCTCCTTACTCATTCAGGTTAAGCCAATGTTGTCTCCCAACACAGAATATGGCTGCATCTTTTCTTCCACTGAGTTCCCAGATCATTCCATCACATCTCCTTCCTTGTTGTCCATCCCTCCATTCTAATTCCTTCTTTCCTAAATGCCCTCCGAACTTCTGAACCCACACCTCCTCCAGAAGACAACTTTTTTTTTCTTTTTTTTTTTTTTCTTTTTTTTTTCAAGAAGACAACTTTTGAAGTATAAACATAGGTTAGAATTGATCCCCTCACCTCCCACCCCCCACCTCAGCCTTCTGGCCTACAGTGAATACAAGAAAACACTTGGTTTCTTTCACAGGAACCAGAGAAGAAGTGCTCCATGGTGGGGCTCCTTTCTTTTGTGTTTACACTTTGTGTTTGGAATTGTGCCATATGAATGGCAGAAGATGAGCTCCCCAAGTGCACTCTCAATCACTTAGACCACTCTTTTAGCTTCCTAGGGCTTCCATAATAGTACACCATAAACTGATCGGCTTATGGAAGCATAAATTTATTGCTTTAAAGTTTTGAAGGCCAAGAGTCTGAAATCAAGGCTGTTGACTTTCTGAGATCTCTGAGAGAGAATTTATACAAGCTTCTTTCCTAGTTTCTGGTAATAGCCAGCAATCTTGGGCATCCCTTGGCTTGTAAATTTATCTTTACTTGACTGCTGTCTCTGTCTCTGTGGACCTTCATTTTTTTAAAAACGTTTCAGATAGTTTTATTTCTTCAATTTTTAAAAATTTATCAGGAGTGACTGAAATAAAAAGTATAATTGAATCCCATCATCATCATCATGGAAATGGCTTTAAGAGAAAACTGGTCAGGTAAATATTATTGTTTCCCATTTTCAACCAGGCAGTAGTTGCCACTAATACAAGACAGCCAGGAGTCTGTCAGGAATGCTCAAGATATGTTATATAACACGCCTGTTCACAGGAAGAAACTCATGTGAACTTCTTTTTTTTTTTAAAGAATTCTTATTGTTGTCTTTTTTTTTTTTTAAATGTGTGTACCGTCAAATTGGAAATGACTGGTACAGGACGTGATTGTTCCACCTTCTTCAACAGAGCATCTGATGGATTTGAACCACGCACCTCTGGGATTGCAGTGCAGTTTCCTGCCACTAGGCCACCAGAGCTCACCTCATGTGACCTTCTTGATCTCAGTACAAGACAAGCACAAAGGCACCACCCATGCCTCTGAGCACATTGGACCAGGTACCCTTGAAAAAAGCTCTGCCTCCTTCACCTTGAGCAATCTTCCTCCAGCAGTCCAGTGTGCCTGCTGTGTATATGGTATCAGTTCCTTTGCACCCTCACTGCATCATCATGCAATGAGGCTGTGACAGACTGAGCGATCATCCAGCTAAAAGATGATGTGAGTGTACTTGAGATCTGAAAGCATTCCCTTTTCAGTGTCATGGATACCGAAGTAGACAGCTCGGTGGATTATAACACCCAGCACAGACATGTTAAAGCCTTGATACCAGCCCCTAATCCCGTCAGGTTTGGAGATCTTAACCAGGCAGTCACCAAGGCCTTTGAACTCCCTTTCTGATCCTGTTTTCCCTATGTCAGATGCCAGGCGGGTACGGGCAAAATCGAGAGGGTAGACAAAGCAGAGGGAAGCAGCTCCAGCAGCCCCATCTGATGCCAGATTCCCGGCAAAGGAGCGCCAGAACCGGGTCCTCTTGTCCACACCACCCAGGAAGACTTGCCTGTATTTATCTTTGAAGGCAACATTGAGAGCCTGGATGGGAAAGGATCGGATGACATTGGCCAGGCTACTGCACCAGAAGGACAGAAATCCCTGATCCTTGGGGATACAAACCACGCAGTCGATGATGCCCTTGCACAGCTTGTCTGTGGTCCTCTGCTTGCTGGCATGCTGCACCTGCACCTGCAGCAGCTTGACCTGCTCGATGGGCGCTGCCGTGGTCTTGGAGATGGCTGCTGCTGCTCCACCTGCCAGGAAGTCCTTGGCGAAGGACACAGCGGCATCTGTCATTTTGAAAATGGAAGAGGTGGCAGGCAGAGGGCGAGGATAGGACAGGAACTGACTTTGACTCTGGACTTTGTCTCTGTGCACCTTCATTTTTATAAGGTCATTAATCCACTCTAATATTACTTATTCACCTTATAACGTCTTCATAGATCCTATTTCCAGAAGGCACAGGGATTCACAGGAACAGAGGTTAGATTTTCAACTATTTTTTTTTCCATTTTAGAAAAATTTAACCCATAATGATCTCCAGTCTTCATTCTGGAGCAGAAAAGCAAATCTGGAAAAGCACTGTCATTTGCTCAGCTACTTAAGGGTAGAATCAAGACCACAATCTAGGTCTTCTGATCCCATATCTAGAGTTTTCCAAAGTGTGATCTGTCTGTTATCAATAAAAGATGAGATGTTTTTGGTGGAACCCTAAGCATCTTGTGTATTGTTTATAATAAACGCAGGTTATACACATGGATTTCACCTGATGGTATGCATAGGAATCAGATCGACTACATCTGTGGAAGGAAAACGCTGGAGAAGCTCAATATCAGCTGTGAAAACTAGGCCGGGGGCTGATTGTGAAATTGAACCAAATCTACAGGAGCCAAAATATGACTTTGATTTCATACCACCTGAATTTCAGAATCATCTCAGGAACAGGTTTGAGGCCTTGAACACTAATGAGCGAAGACCAGATGAGTTGTGGGAGGATGTCAAAGGTATCATCCAGGAAGAGTGCAAACGGTCATTACAAAGACAGAAGAGGAAGAAAAGACCAAAATGGATGTCAGAAGAGACTCTGAAGATTGCAGAGAAGCCAAAGCACAAGGAAGCATTCAAGATACTAAAGAGCTGAAGAGAAGATTCCAAAAGGCTGCTAGGAATGACAAAGCAAAATACTACAATGAAATGTACGAGGAGCTAGAGTCAGAAAATCAAAAGGGCCGAACTCGCTCAGCATTTCTTAAACTCAAGGAACTGAAGAACAAATTCAAACCTAGAGTTGCTATAATCAAGGATGCTTTGGGCAGAATATTAAATGATCCCGGAAGTATTAAAAGAAGATGGAAGGAATATACTGAGTCATTGTATAGAAAGGAATTGGCAGAAGAATTTAATGAAATAACATATGAGCAAGAGCCTATGGAGATGAAGGAAGAAGTTCAAGCTGTTTGAAGGAAATAGCAAAAAATAAGGCCCCAGGAATAGATGGTATACCAATTGAAGTATTTCAGATAACAGATGTTGCCCTGGATGTG